TGTGGGCTCTGATGACAGACGGGCAGGGTATATAGGGCAGACAAACAGGCGGACGGTGTTATATGGTTTATTTACATATGCAGGGCCGGCTTTAGCGATTTCCGAAGCACGAGGCGGACCAGAGTTAATATAGTCTTGATCTCATCTCGCGCGGTAGGCTAACTTGATCGACAGTGATGGCGCGGTATTGCTAGTGCTGGTGGTGATTTCACCAGATACAAAGCTGTCAGATATGTCTCCCGATGCATCGCATCACCCACTGGAGCTGCATTGTTTACTGCAAATCGGCCGATAGCTTTGTAAGGGTATATTTATTGTTGTAGTGCCTACTTAACCCTGCCTAGAGTCCGATAATCCCTCAACCGTTGTCGTCAAGCTCTACTAATGGTAGGCCCAAGAAACGTTCTGTTTCGACGGCGTCGGACCAGAGGCAGAGGGATGGTAGTTGAATTGTTTGGGGTGGACTTGTGAAGATATGTCCGAGGTTAAGCTACTACAGTATCTAGACCTTAATGGAGCCAGGGTAACCCCCTTCAGGTCTTTGTGATTTGTGTGATAGGCGCCTGTGTGATTTCCTTCGTCCAGGCTGTGAAATGTGTGGTCGTAGCCTTCGATGCCGATATTTGTAGGTTAAAAGCCGTGAAGAAGCGCTTCAGGTCACGGAGGCATCTGTTCATCAAGATGATGAGATAGTCTCAATCAGTGTGCCGCGTTACAAAGGGCTTTGACGGTCCAAGCGCCACGAGTACGGACGCAGGGTTCCTTCTATTGTTGTTGTAGTGGCTTACTGAGCACTGCCCAGATCGGCTTGTCCCTAAGTATTTGTCGTCCAGCTCAACCAACGGGAGGCCCGAGAAACGTGCCACTCCGACTGGTTTGACCACAGGGAGGGGCGCGTGAGTTGAGTGGGCATGAGAAAAGGTGTGTCTAGTTATGGGGTGCCTATCTGCATGCCGGACATACCACGACGTAAATGACTTGAGTTTTTCCCGACCTAGGGCTGTTG